GGGCGCTGTTTTTAACGAAAACTCACCGAGGTAGTCACTTGGTTTGCAAAGAAGGTAAAAATAATGCCGCCTCGACAGCAGGTGACGCCTTAGGCTCCGTGTAGTGTGCAGGGGAGCGGTCCAAGTTATGTGTCCCCCGCAGCTGTAACCCGGGCCTCCTGCGCCTGCGTAGCATTGCTCCTCTGCTTTACGGTGACCACTTCACTTCCTTGGTCCGTAGATATGGTGTGCGACAGTTACAGTGGCTGTGGGAACCATAACTTTAAGTCCTGTGACTTTTCTGTGAGTAAAACCAGCCATAATGTGGAATTAATGTGGTTCTTCACATTTAATTTCCACGTTGTTGTGAAGACTTATCGCATATTTGAATAAAAGCCCTGCATTCATTTTCGGTAGCGTGTAAATGATGGCGGTTATGTGGACTTCATTTTGCCACTTAATTAACATTATTAAATGCAGTGGGGCTACCTGGGAGCATGTACATGGTGGGCCAGTCTGAGGGGTGATGCTTTTAAAGCATATCCACTCTTCTCTTTGACAGTGAAATATACCACACCCCCCCCACCCCCGCCCCGGCTAATGATCACACACTTCCAGGAAATGATAGTGTGTGGTGTAAAAGGCATAAGGAGAACCATTTTTAAACTAGAAGAGTTGAATAAGGTTCTAATTGTCATAAGCAGTCTTCAGACAGTCCTGCCAGACTCCTTTGGGTATCTTTTTGCGTATAACTCAATAGGGGACACCAAGAATGGGGTGGGGGTGGTATTTAGCAAAGGCCCTGCTGCCTCCTTTCTTTGTCTCTCAGGCTGAGCCCCGCATGGAGAGTGAGTGGCTGGCCAGAGCCAGGGGCCTCTAGTGACTGACGTGCTGGGCCTTAAGAAAAAGTCCAAGCATCTGAAACCACCCGTAACCCTGCATAAGTTCATCTGAATTGAACAAAGTGTATGAGGCCTGGGCCATTAGACTGAGGACTGAGGAAAGAGGCAAATGTAATGAGCTGTAGGACCTCTGTTCTTCTTGGTGAGGGCTTGTGATCAGGGCTTGCATCTGCCTAGCTGCAGCATTTCTTGATGTCACTGCGTGCAGAGGAGGTAGACCAGTGAGCCCCTGCCTGTCTGCAGCTCCTCACCATCCCCCTTGGGGGCAGAGGAATTGCCCTCTTACCTGGGAACTCAGGTTCTAGTGCTGCCTGAAGCTCGACATGAGAGAGAGAGAGAGAGAGACAGAGACAGAGAGAGACAGAGAGAGACAGAGAGACAGAGAGACAGAGAGAGACAAAGAGAGAGAGAGAGGCGGAGACAGAGAGACAGACAGAGAGACAGACAGAGAGAGTCTTGGAAGGCAGCCTACCATCCAAGAAGGATCTGACTTGTGCCAAGACCTCCCTGATTGTCACTATGGGTGGGAAGGGCCAGTGACCACAGTGCCTCTGGTCCCCACTTCTACCTCCAGGGGTCCATGGGCATCTAAGCAGTCTCTGCTGACCGGCTTCCTGTCTCTAAACTTGCCCATTCCTTTGAACTTACCCAGCTTTTGTTTCTTTGGAGGAAGAAATCCCTTGTTTTTCATACAAGACATCAGGCCTGGCTAAATATGAGAGACAGACTGGAACAGCCCAAATGCCGGGCAGCTACTTGCTAATTTCCCTTCTCCCCGGCCCGTCCATGCCGGCAGCCCTCCTCATCTCCAGCTCGGAAACTTTCGCAGACTTCCAGAACTCCTTGGAATTCAGTCTGACACGGTGGAGACATCTACTGTATTGCGTGCAACTAATGAATCACACGTTTCATTTGCCCTGGGGAGTCGTTTGCTGAGCTCTGAGTGGAGACATCTACTGTATTGCGTGCAAATGAATCACACATTTCATTTGCCCTGGGGAGTCGTTTGCTGAGCTCTGAGGAATATTTAAATCATGAAGCATAGAGACCTCCCATTCCGAGGTCATCTGTTCAGAATATGCTTCGCCAGCATTTTGGTTGATGACTTTACAGGGCTGGGCCCATGAAGGTCTGATTTGAGGAAGGTCTTTAAGATCCCATTTTGAACCGTCTCCCACCTAACTAATGAGCTTGGATCTCTGGTTCCTGAGCTGCCATCTCCCCTTGGTGGCTGGGGGCCAAGCAGGTGAGACATGGTGACTTGGCCCTCATGCTAAGTAAGCATTTGATGAACTAGGGGTGCTGGGCAACCCAGCGGGAGAGCA